GAGAGACAATGTTTTACTTTCTCCTCATATCTACGTTCTCCGGAACTAGGAGAGACAATGTTCTACTTTCTCCTCATATCTACGTTCTCCGGAACTAGGAGAGACAATGTTTTACTTTCTCCTCATATCTACGTTCTCCGGAACAAGGAGAGACAATGTTTTACTTTCTCCTCATATCTACGTTCTCCGGAACAAGGAAATACAATGTTTTACTTTCTCCTCATATCTACGTTCTCCGGAACAAGGAGAGACAATGTTCTACTTTCTCCTCATATCTACATTCTCCGGAACAAGGAGTGATAATGTTTTACTTTCTCCTCATATCTACGTTCTCCGGAACTTGGAGAGATAATGTTTTACTTTCTCATCATATCTACGTTCTCCGGAACAAGGAGAGATAATGTTTTACTTTCTCCTCATATCTACGTTCTCCGGAACAAGGAGAGATAATGTTTTACTTTCTCCTCATATCTACGTTCTCCGGAACAAGGGGAGACAATGTTTTACTTTCTCCTCATATCTACATTCTCCGAAACTAGGAGAGACAATGTTTTACTTTCTCCTCATATCTACGTTCTCCAGAACAAGGAGAAATAATAAGTTTATTAAATTTGTATGGGTGCCAAAATAACTTGCTAATTAACAACGAAACAAGACAATGAATCACTGTGTACTTCTTGTCCGCTTGAAACAATGTATTACTTTTTCCTTATATAATATAGGTATTTTAGTTGTGTTATTGTTGTATCTATTTAGGTAAGGTTGTCCGTGTTTACTAAACAGAAAGTAGGCCCAGGCTGTAGAAAGTGTCGATTAAATCTTCTGTCTGACGTTCTAGGAACCAAGTTAGTCCCTTAGTGCACGAGACGACATCCTCAGTCTGCTTGTAGTTTATACGTGCGCACCTGTGACTACTCGAGTACGTGGGATACGTGAGTTACTAGTTTCTTTCAAGGAACCATGGTGATGCGTGACATATCAACACGCATCGTGGTTCTGGTTTCGGTTTTACGTACATATATTGTAAATGTATATTATTTGTATGCATATCTTTATTCACTCTATAAACCTAATCCCACCACTTGAAATTTCTATTCAGCTCTTAATAAACAGCTTCAAATCGAAACTGTTCCACGAACTAAATGTTACTTCTATCACCCCCCCCCCAAACAAAACTCTAAAACTATTTATTTACTTTAAGTGAGAAGTTCCCACTGAGCATGGGTGTGGCCTAGTTTTAGCATGTCTGCACTGTGAGTCCTACTATTCGGTCAGACAAATAGGACGCTTGTGATCTGTTCGAAAAGTTCAAATTAACGAAGGATATTCACAAACAGGTCTTAGTACAGCTTTGCCCAAAAAAAATGCTGATCGTACCACAGATTTCTATCCAGTTTTTTTTTTCATAAAATAAACGAACAGTACCCATCTTCTGAGATTTAAACTCAGACTATTTTCAATCTCGTATTTAAACCCAATATTTTGTTACTTTCATCACTCAACAAAAGAGCTCCGGCAAGGAAGTCACTTTAGTAAGTTTCTAACACCCATCAAACTATTAAAACCAGTATTAGTTTAACGTAACACCCATCAAACTACTAAACCAGCATTAGTCTGATGTAACACCCATCAAACTACTAAAACCAGCATTAGTTTAACGTAGCACCCATCAAACTACTAAAACCAGCATTAGTCTGATGTAGCACCCATCAAACTACTAAAACCAGCATTAGTCTGATGTAGCACCCATCAAACTACTAAAACCAGCATTAGTTTTAACGTAGCACCCATCAAACTACTAAAACCAGCATTAGTCTGATGTAGCACCCATCAAACTACTAAAACCAGCATTAGTTTAACGTAGCACCCATCAAACTACTAAAACCAGCATTAGTCTGATGTAACACCCATCAAACTACTAAAACCAGTATTAGTTTAACGTAACACCCATCAAACTACTAAAACCAGCATTATGTTGATGTAACATCCATCAAACTACTAAAACCAGCATTATGTTGATGCAACACCCATCAAACTGCTGTAACCTGTCTATTGTAATAATGTTATGTTATAAGCAGTGCATGGAATATACTATGCATCAAATGTACAAGCTGAAGTTAACACTTGTAAAACGAGCTTTGAAATATATTAGATATATTTACTTTGTGTTAAAAACAACTTACGGTTTAACATTTCAATCATCTACAGTTTTGTAGTTTTTAAGAGTTATTTGGTTTATTTTGTTAAACTATTTGAAATCTGACATTGAACTTGTGTCCTGGTGGTGAAAGCTGTTTAAACTGTTAACTGGCTCGTTATTAAAATATTTTAAAAATATAAGCAGAATAAAGTGAACGACAAAACGAACCAGTAAGATTTTTTTTTCTTAAGAAAGCGAATATTCATTTTCACTATCAGTTCATGAGGAATCTTTATCTAGCTCATTTAACGTGTGTAAACTGTTAACGTTTGTAATCGGTTGTGTATGATAGTCAGTCTCTCTGGATATATAGTACATGATATAATATTATCGAGAAAGCAGTGAAATCAATACGCCTGTTATTAGTCACAATGATCACACTATGCTCTTGGTGAGTTTTTCACATTCCTGTTAATTATTCTATTATCGATATCAAAGCGAAGTAAGAAAAAGGTATATTTTTGTCACATATCTCTCTCTCCCTGCAGTGTTTAATGGATATGTTAAGGTTTTAAATGTATATTATCATTTTGGACAAACCTAACTGACAAGTTATGGTAATCAAAATAAGACGTGCAGGATAACGACGGCTGTGATTAAACATGCTATATGATTTGGCACTGAATCAGTTGTTCGGCTTCGTATAATGAGCCCAATTTTGTTACTAATCCATTTCGTAAAACACACAATTAAGAAACCAACCAGTGAGGTGTAGAAAATCATGCGGCGACACCTAGGCCAACATTTTCTTCTTTACGAAACATTTACTAAATTGACTCAAATAAAATGTTTAAAAATAATATCTATATCTTAAACTAATTTATTGTTTCCAAATTATTAGTTATGAATCATGTTACACAGAAGATACTTTATCTATATCATTACACGTTATATACAGTAGGCATATTACACATTAACTACCAGACATTTTACACGTTGTATACTGTCCTTGAATCATCTCGAGAACATTCACAAGTTTAGGGAGGGAAAAAGTTTTAAGCCTGTATGTTAGATCTAATTAATACACCTACAAACAGACCTTTTTCGTAAGGATTTTTTTTCAACTGCACAATTATATTTTAACTTTATAATTTTTTAATACATGACACCTTATTGCACCTCATATATACAGGCCTAGTAACAAATGATCTAAAAATGAAGAATATTCTAGTAAATACATTTATTTATCAACTCTGGAATGGAATTTTATGATCTTAGATATAATTTTTTTTCCAGGGTTTCGATACCCGTGGTGGGCAGAGCACAGATACCCCATTGAGTAGCTTTGTGCTTAATTATAAACAAACAAGTAATTTTTTAATATTTATTTACATGAACTTACTTAGATGGGTGAATTTTCAACTGCATAAATATTTTTGCAGGTGCACAATTTGTCATCAACTGCACACTAGGAAAACCCCTGCCTTTAAATAAAGGTAGCATGCGTGTCAGTGAATTAGCTCGGTGAATTACTATGTTAGGCCTAATTAATATATCTACATATAAAGGTAGAATGGTGTGTCAATAAACCCCATTAGCTCTATGAATTACTATATTAGGCCTAATTAATACACCTACTTAGTCTCTAATGCCAGTAAAAGTTTAACAGGATATGTTACTATACATCACTTTGGCTGGAATATTAAGCTAATCCTGACAGATACAAGCTCTTACAAAGTAGGAAACAGCCGCCACCTTTTAAGCTTTCTGATTTTCAAACAAGACCCAAAACTCAAACGCTTTCGAATAGTGAATTTTGGGCCTCGTTTGAAAACCATTACAACTTTTGTATGTGATCCTCTGTGCTAACTTCGTAATCATAATTTTTAAACTTTCTAGTAACCATGCAAGAAAGATATTTCTTTGTAAAAATGTTATTGAGAATCAACACAAAACGAAGATGTTAACAATTTTCAGATAAATTAAATAAATAAGTAAACAACGACCTACAGGTTTAATTGGGAGACAGGGAAATATCCCCACTATTTCTCAATGGACTGTGTAATTTGAAGTTCCAATTGTCATTATACGTCTGAGTATATGTACATTTCTATGAAGGCCACCTAACGAATTATTTATCAATAATCTTGAATTTTTTGTACGTGATGATTATAGAAACAGTGAAGACTAATCAATGGGAATTACTCTTACAGTTGCTTCGTCGATTTAGAAGCTAGCTGTTTCATCGTTTCATTATTTTTCAGATTAAATCTTATTTTATAAGTTTTAGTTTCTCTGCTTAAAGAATATTTCTATATTTAAATAGTCGTTACTTTATCAGTAGATCAATTTGAGTTTGTAATATTGGCTATAATGAGCGACAACATCTTATTAAACAAAGTTTCAGAATAAAAATTTTAAAACTGAATGAGATTTCCGTGTGCTGAACTGTTTCGTTTCAAACTCAGGTCTGCTTTCATGGGACGTCAAGTCGTCCGGATGTGATCTTTCACACCTTCAAAATGTGTACAAAAGCACATCACCAGTTGACAAACCACAACAAGGTAAGATTTTTAACTGTTATCCTGCGATAAACCGGGTAACACTTCTGCCTAGTACTGTGTAGAGGAAAGTTTAACTTGATGATAAACTTAAGAACTGTAATATTTTGATTCAACTGATATTGATATAAAGTCTAAAAAAAGCGTATGATCTTTCCCCTACAGATAAAAGTTTTGAGACAACTTGACTGGAAATGTATTATAAATGTAAGACGCTTCGACAAGATTTTGTCATCGTACATTTATAATCAAGTTTCTTCATTACCCAGTCTTAAAACTTTTATTTTATAAAACGTGGGTTATCAAGCTTCACTATAGATGTTCTTTACTGATATATATATATACATGGATGAGCGTTTCTTCTTTATCTCTAGCAGATGTTCCACAAATACACCACTTCAAAGACGTTGTGACTTGACACTTCTTACTAACACTGATACATTAAAACATCTGTAGCGGGATTTATTTACGGTTGGTAAAACATCTGTAGCGGGATTTATTTACGGTTGGTAAAACATCTGTAGTGGGATTTATCTACGGTTGGTAAAACATCTGTAGCGGGATTTATTTACGGTTGGTAAAACATCTGTAGTGGGATTTATTTACGGTTGGTACAATATCTGTAGCGGGATTTATTTATTGTTGGTAAAACATCTGTAGTGGGATTTATTTACGGTTGGTACAATATCTGTAGCGGGATTTATTTACTGTTGGTAAAACATCTGTAGTGGGATTTATTTACGGTTGGTACAATATCTGTAACGGGTATTATTTGGATGACTTGGAGACGGGTTTGTACAAAACTTTTTGTCGTCGCTTTGGGACGCACTTTTTTAAGGACATAGTTATAAAAATATATTTTAGATGTATTATAAATGCGTTTGTTTATTTAAGAACAAAAATAACCTGTAATCGCTCTGGGACGCACTGGTTTTGAGAATAAAGGACAAACACCCTTATAGTCTCTTTGTGACGCATGCGTTCTAAGGACGCACTTGTCAAGGGAAAAAAGTAAGAAGAAAATCAAGTTTCGGGTCTCGTTTTGATTTCTAAACCAAATAATTATTTTCAACATTTTATTGAAAAACTATTTTCTTGAAAATTAGTCTGAAAAATCATGTTTTATTGGAGATGCATTTGTCTTCGAAAAATAATGTCAGCAAAAAGTTTCGATCATTTGGACACATATTTGTAAGAAAAAACACGATTCGTTCTTTTCTTGTGTTATTTATTTAAAAATCGTTTTGTTAAAAACATCCAATTTATTTAACTTTTAATTTTCAAGCTCGAATTCTGTCTTATGAGGAAAAGTTTGAAAGCAGCTAGTCGTCCCTAATTTTGATTTGATAGACTAGAGGGAAAGCAGCTAGTTGTCCCTAATTTTGATTTGATAGACTAGAGGGAAAGTAGCTAGTCGTCCCTAATTTTGATTTGATAGACTAGAGGGAAAGTAGCTAGTCGTCCCTAATTTTGATTTGATAGACTAGAGGGAAAGTAGCTAGTCGTCCCTAATTTTGATTTG